TTGTTTGAGTAAACAACATGAATGCAGTACTAACGTTTACAGAGTTTCGTTTTTCCTGTGGATCTGGCGACCCCCTTGTTACCTGAGAAATTGTGTCTATACCCATCTCATGTTTAAAGAACTTCGTTCTTACCGTGGGTCCCTTGATCCATTAATATTTTTAAATCTACGGATTTTCTTTCAAAAGTACTCGCGAGTGCTCATTCCTTCATGTGCCTTTTTTCCCCCCTTGTATTGTGTTTAAGTTGTCGTGAGAAGCGACGAAACCTGTAGCCATGATACCTACTCCCAGTGGCATCTTGAAAGTTGAGACCCACGTATACAAATATTACAGGGAGTGTCGCCAAGTGTGTCCAGGCAACACACACGGTAGATGCATTCCACCTCGTTCATCCACATTGCATGCACTCCGTAATATATTCTATGTAATATATGTTAAAAATATTTATGCTTTTAAATTTAGTCCTTTTTTAACCAACATATGTAACTCATTGACTTAGTCTGAGACTGTAAGAAAAGAGGTACTACAGTAAGTGATTCTCACCTTTTTTTGTTTGATTGCTTACGTAACTTTAAAATGTAGGTGCAAGAGCAGCTTTAACACTTTGTTATAAGAAAGTGTTATGGTTCTAGTTAGTGGAACTATTATAAGTCTGCTACAATCTATCATATAAAAAGAAGACCTGTATCTACTACACATGTATATGTAGAAAGATTGAGTTATTCCATGATTGTTTTCAACAACTTACTAGTTAGATCTTATAATATTACGCACACAGTGCTGGGACGCTAGGCATTGAGCATAATTAGAAGCTCTTGAGTCGCGTGATTGATACATGTTTAATGACGATACGTACATTCAGTGTATAGATAACCGTTGCTAAGGAAAGATGCCTTGTGTAATATATGAAGTATTAATTTGAATAAATTCTAGTCTATCATATAAAATGTTATAAAGTGTTTATTTTTGCAGGCTTATTTATTTTTAAAATGGGAGCAGTGCTTTAAGTTGCCTATTTTTTTCTTGTTTTTTTAATGTTTCACGTGTCTCTTCGGAGGCACGTGACAATCACTTGTAAGAGAAAAAATAAAATCAAAAAGGGATAAAAAAAATATGTTGAGTATAAAAAAGATTAGAATAAAACGTTTGCAGTGATATGTGCCACATGTATTTTAGTGAGAAATTTTTTGAGATGCAAAAGGATTCAAAAGTTTCATGAGATAGGAAGTTTGGCACGTGTTTAGTAGAAAGAAGTGTAAATGTGATGTTCGATTATAGGTAAATAGAAAATTTACAAGGAAAAGAAAGAACTAAATAGGTTGACAACCAGAAAATCTTAAAAGAGATAAACAGTGCAAATATTAGGTTAAAAAAGGAAGACAAAGACTACGTGAGAAGGAGTTTTTGAAAACTTTGAAAAACGTGCTGCGTATATTAAAAGAAGTCAAAATCGAGAAGGAAGAAAAGATAGCGGACTATATTAAATTTATGTTACCAACTTTTGATAGTCGTAATTATAGTTTGTGGAAAAAAGAGAATGTAAGGAAAAAGGGGAGGTAAGAAAATGATTCAAAAGCTATGAATAACATATGTAGTGCATCAAGTGTAGATCAATTTGAATGGATACGTAATGAAATGAAGTCGTATAAGATCATTGAGAAATTAAATAAGTTATACCTCAAAAAATTAATACCATTGCAGATATGTGTAAGAGATCAATTAGATAAAATCAAGTTGTGTGACTTTGAAAAATCTAGTGATTTTTTTAGTGAGTTTGAAAATTTAATAATAATATTAAAAACTGCTGAAGCAACGGTTAATAAAGAGAAAAAGGTTAAATATTCACTATAAAAATTACCTCCCGCATAACAACATATTGGTCATTTAATACACATTTTGAAAGAAGAGGAATGGACAGTTAAATATGTTATAAACATAATAAAAATGTACAAGATAAAAGATCCAACATATATAAGTGAATATAACAGTAGAAATTCAAGTATGTTGAAAGTGAAAAAAAAAAAAATAGAAGCTGTTATAAGTATGGTAAGCCAGGACATTTTTTAAATCAATGTTGTAATAACAACTATAATCAACGACAAAACACATCAACAGGATCGTGGACTGGTGTTTCCAATGTAAACAGAGGAAAAAGTAATCAACAGCGAGGAGGCTGATACGGTTAGTTCGGCAACCAACAGCAGCAAAACTTTCAAAATAATAACAGAGGCCATGGCATCAAGTATGGCAGAATCAACATTGGCAACAACAACATTATTAACAGTGCCAATTATGGTAGAAATAACAGCGAAAATCAAAGTACTAACAGAGACTTATTTTGTACAACTTTAATTAACAATATTAGTATTAATAAGAATCAAAATCTTGCCAGTCGGAAAGCGAAGAGATGTAGTGATAAAATTGGATGAAGTTGGATAGTAGTTGTACTGATTATATAATTAATAATTTAAATTATTTTTCCGAATATATAAATCTACAATATCCAGTCAATGTTCAAATAGGCAATTAAAAAACTTTGAAAGCTCCAAAAATAGAAAATGTCAATTTATTATTCAAACTAAATGATAAAATTAAAGAAGTCTATATGAAAAACGTTCACTATGTTGAAAAAATGAATAAAAATCTAATGAGTGTTGGTAAAATAAAAAATTATGATAAAATTATCATGGAAAATAATACTGCAAAAACATTGAATAAAAAGAATGAATTGCTTACAACAGCATATAAAATGAATGATATGTACAAGACATTTAGCAAAGTAAATAAAAAGCTGGCATACGATGGAACATGTAATATGAGTCAAAAAGAAAAATATCATAGAATGCTAGGCCATGTTTATTTTAATTATTTAAATATTTTTCGTAAAGAAAAGTTAGTTAAAGGTCTGCCTTATGATTAAGAGAATGATTATTTCAAATGTGGCTCTTGCATTTAAAATAAATGCATACTATTAAATTTAACAACGATAGACGTAGAGCCAATTATGTCTTAGAAATCTTACATGTAGATTTAAATGAGCCTGATAGAGATAGTTATAATGGAGATGAATATTTTTAAATTATTGTTGTCGATTACTCTTAAATTGCTAAAGTATACATAGTGAAGCTTAGGAATAAAATTTATAATTGTTTAGTAGACTATATAAATAAATTTGAAAACTAGATAGGGAAAAGAGTAAAAAGGTTAAGATGGGATAATGGGAAAGAATTCCTGAACAGAAGTATTTATGAATTTGCAATGCATAAAGGTATTACAATAGATTGATGCCTTTCATACGTGCATGAGTTAAATGGAACTGCAGAAAGATACAATCGATAAGTAATGGATACATCAAGGTGTCTGTTATCTGTTGCAAAATTACATAAGAAAATTTGGCCAGAAGTACTAAAAATGGCAGCTTACTTAAAACACAGAACCTTAGTAAATACTTTTAAAAGGAAAACTCCATATGAAATTATGTCGAAAGTTAAGCCAAACTTAAATAACATAAAATTTTATGGAAGTAAAATATTTGTTAGGGTGCTGGAGGTTTAATGAAGTAATAAAAGAAATAAATAGGCAGAAGTAGAAATCTTAGTAGGGTATGAAATTGTTGGTTATAGAGTACTCATTAACAATAAAATTATAATTGCTAGATATGTTGATATTGTGAAGGAGAATGTTAAATAAAAAGGTTTTAATGGTAATAGAAATGATAATTGTTACAGTTAAACAAATGATAATAATAATAGTACCGATAATGTTTCGGTTTTTGATGAAAATATTAAAACTGTAAATAGTAATGAAACTACAAATAAAAAAAAAAGTAGAATAAGAACGTCTAGTAGAACGCATTAAGAACCAGAAAGGTTAAAGCCAGAAAATTATGCAACACATATTTACGTAAATTTTGTTAGTGCAAACACTCCACAAAATTATAATGAAAGACATAGGTGATGTCAATACATACCTTGGTATGAATGAAGCAAAACTTAAAATGTGATCCCGCACGGTCAGCATCTGAATTTAAAAACTACAAAAATTTGATAGGAGCACTTTTATGTATAAGCTTAGGAACAAGACAAGATGTTAGTTATAGCGTAAACTATTTAAGTAGATTTAAAAACTGTTGAAATCAAACTTATTACAAATATGCAATTCGAATCTTAAATTTTGTATCTAACAAAAGATATTAAGTTAACGTAAAAAAGAAATTTCAAAGTAGATATTTTGACTTGTTTTGTGAATGTAGACTGGGCAAGTGATATAGTTGACAGAAAATCAACTACTGGTTACGTTATAAAGCTAGCTAATAATGTAATGTATTGGAAATCTAAGAAACAAGGAAGTATAACACAATCTTCGACAGCAGCTGAGTATGTGGCGTTGGGGGAAAGCATAATCAAAATCTTATGGATAAGAGAAATATTAAAAGGTTTCTTTATTATTTTTCATGAATCAATAAATGTTTTTGAAGACAACTCTGGTGCGATTAGTATTTCTAAATTTGGCAACTATACAAAAAACTAGAAATATATTGAAACAGATTTTCACTTTGTAAACGAGAATTGTTCAAACGGTATAATTAATATAGTTAAAGTTAACTCAGAAAATAACGCAGCAGACATTTTTACTTAGGCATTAGAGAGAACTAAATTTGTTAAGTTTAAAAAGGATTTAGGATTTAATCAAAATAAAAAAACGATAACCTAAAATTTGTAACATGATAAAATTTTATATTTAAGGAGCCATGTTAAAATATAAGTAAATTTGAAATTACGCGCGTGACTTTGGGATGCTAAGGCATTTAGCATGCGTAGAAGCTCTCGATTTACGTGATTAATACATGTTCCATGACGATACGTATATTCAATGTATAGGTAACTATTGCTGAGGATGTAATACATGGAGTATCAATATTAATAAATTTAAGTCCATTATGCAAGATTTTATAGAGTATTTTATTTGCTAGGCTTATTTCATTCTTNGTTGAGCTCATGCCGTAAGAAGATTTTGAAAATGTTCAGAACGAATAAACCTTGGATAACAGTCTTTTTTCAATAGCATTGTGTAGACGTGCTCAGCAGCAGAATCGAATATAAACCTATTTGGACTCTTCATTGCCTGATGTACTTTTTCTTTGGCCTTACTGTCAATATTTATTTCACTTGGCGCTCCAGACACTAAAAATTCCCTGTTTTTAAAAATATTATTTATTAGTTTTAATCGAAAGTTCCTTATTTTTTTACACAATAAAAGCCTTCATTATACGTACTTGAAAATTTCTTCAACTTTTTCATGAATTTTCGTTTGAGAACTATGTCTGAGGTGTTTAACAGCTAACCAAAACCGAATATTTTCAAGACAGTATTCTTTTTTTAAGTAATTGGTGAACTCCTGCAGGCCTGAAATATTTGACAATGTAGGTGTAAACTCAAAAAAGTGAATACCTTGTATTATTTGAGTTAAGGGTATGTTATACATAGTTGAACACACCTGATGGATCTGACATCAACTCTTCCAAAGATATTTTCCATCTTTTAACACGTCTTTCAGTAGAAACGTTGACTCTTTAATAGAAATAAGATCATATAAATGTCTAGTAAAAAACAAAAATAATAATTTGAATAACTTATATAACTAACAATGGGCTATTTAATTGCCAAAATGTAGCATCTTCTGTGATCCATGGATTTGATGGTTGTGGTTGCGTAATCATTGGATCATGTTCTATGTATACTTTATAATATGATGTAAGATTTTCAACAGCAACTGAAAACTTTATTCTTGTTCGAGTTAAGCTATTCTGTAGGAGTTCTACCTGTTAGACAAACACAGATTTTAAAAATAACTTAGTACACTTCTTTCTCTTGATATTTTAATGATTTTCTAAGTCAAGGTATGAAAATAGATAAAAATTAATGTCTTCATTTATAAGATTTAATTTTTAGTTATTTGGTAGGTGCCTAAGTCTATTTAAATCTGTCGCTATTCAATGTGACTAGTTACAAAGAGAAAAATATATTTTTAATTGTTTAAAATTACATAGCAAAAAAACGAATAGCAAAATCAAATTTAAATAAAAACTAAAAATAAATTTCAAATACAAATTTAAGAGATAAAGTATAGGACGAAACAAAAAAATTTCAAAATTTCTGTTAAGTAGTCATTTTTTTCAAAAAATACGTAATTTTTAAGCTAGATTTCTTTAAATTTACTCTTTAGAATCCAGAACTCTTAACACCTCGGCATATACGTACATCTTTCAAAAATTTTCGAATAACAGGGTCAGTTTGTAGTTAAACTTAACGTTATCATCTTGGTACGTCAAACATTAATCTTATGTCAAGGAATCAAGAATTTACACTGAATCAAAGGGATTACTAACAGTAAGAGTGTCATAAGAAGTGTTCTGAAACCGTAAAGCTAGTGTTTCCTAACAATTCGTATCCTAATAGAATCGATATTTTACCACTATGCGTATGACTAGATTCAAACCGTTAATTTTTTAATAAAATATCACTCTAAAAAATTTTTCTAAATACCTAGTTAAGTAGGGACTGGAGAGTTACAAACTAATGATCCTACAGAAAAGAGACCAATGTTGGACACTGATTCAAAAGCTTAAACTCTGTATACAAAGTTTTTTATGACGTCAGAAGGCTAAATATCTGTTACTAATCACAAACAGTTTTTGAAGTTCAGTCTTAGTTACTTTCACTAATAGTGAAACAACTTTAAGGTAACGTGAAATCTAACGCCTCAGTTTTAAAGTTTGAAGTATTTTGACAAAGTTTCTTACGCTCACTTTAGCTTTTTTTTTTCTCTCTACATAATGATATTTTGATAAACAGTTATTTCAATTTTGATATTTATTTTCATCATACACAGTTCTTAAAGTATACCTTTTTCATATTATTAAATTATGTATAATTTAACTACATGATACTTAAGGTAACCCTCACTTTCCATAATTTTGAAAAAAAGAGTCAATGTTTCGTGATTTTTTAGAATATAAGCTCTAGGCTTTATAAATACTAATGTAACAACGAAGTATTGAGATTAGTTGCCAGTACTTGGTCATGAATTACCATATTTTTTTTACCCTAGTGAGCATGCTTGACGAAAACGCAACTTGATGCACACTATTCTCTGCCATTTCATGAGAGAAAGCTACAACCCCTAGTAAAAACGCTTCGCTGATAACCTTGATAGGCAGTTTATGGTTAAAATATTTCAATACTTTATATGCTGTTGACTTGTTGTTACGTCTCATATGGCATAATTAATAAAATAAATTAAAAGTTAAAGATTTAATTTTTTCAAAGAGTGTAAATCAGTTGTAACATTTTGTCAAATGGTTAGTTCAAATTAAGACATTTATAAGATGTTGTACAATGATAGTAAGGTTTTGATATACAATAAAAAAACAAAAAAATGGTTTGCAATGGTATAAGGTCGATAGTAATTGTTTAATTTTAGTAAAAAAAACTAACATCAGTTAAAGTGTTGAAATATTTGAACATTAAATTAGCTATGAAAGTAATAAATAAAGCACTTTTAACAGAGGATGCAGTAGTTTTCTCTTACGGAATGCCAGAGAATAGTGTGCATTAAGTTGCATTTTCATCAAGCATCGTGACTAATGTAAAAAAAGATATACGTTAGTTAACGATCAAGAGCTGGCAACTTTTGAAATTTATTTATTATATCAGTAAATTGGAAGTTTCAAGCTCGTGCGTATGTAATGTAACTAACTTTACCATAATTACTTGTGTTTATACTTGAATAAACTTTGTAATTAAAAATCTTTTAATATTGTCTTATAATGTAAAGTTTTTAATAGGCCATTATAAAAAAAATAGCTTCAAGCTTATAACTCTAGTTTTTAGTCATCCTGGTTCAATTCTACGAAGAATAATCGTATGATTTCTAGTGTAATAATTGGGTGCGCCAATGAGAGCCTATGCTAAGCGAGTGCTTAACAACAATTTTTACACTTATTTTTATAAAGGCATATAAAAGCTTCAGAAAGAACCTCTCTAAGTTAATCTTTAATAGTCCAATTCATTATTTTTTCATAATCTAAAAAAAAAAAAAAACAGGTGTGGGTCTCGGGACCCCCGACAGATGTGAAACATCAAAGAATACGTTATTGAACTCGGTTGTATTATTTATTCATATTAATTTTCTATAAGACGTTGAGCTCATCACCCCTATGCAGTACATGATTTTTGAATTTTTCACTTGAGAGTAAAAAATCGGGCACAGATATAAAAAATATAAGGTAGAAATGTGAGGATGTAAGAAGAAGAGTGTATAAATAAAAATAAGCAGCATAAATTTAAAAAATGGTTTTTGTTTATTTTTACTAATACATGGAAAAGTGTAGCAGTATAAAAATATACAGACTATTTATAAAAATACTTATATTTTCTACCGTAATAAACATTAAGTTAGATCATTCGTAGCACGGTGACGTCAGTAATGGTAACATTCGATAATGTTTGCGATGGAATAACAGTAATAATAGGTCGATGATTACTACAATATGTAACAAAAATGCTTGCTTGCAACGACGCGGCTCTGGCGTGGTGCGCTAAGTAGCTAGGAGTGGGGAGAGAGCCCGCTTGGGTCTGGCGCTGCTACGTGGCGACGCGGTTCTTGCGTGGCGATGCGGCTCATGTGTGGCGACGCAGCTCTGGTGGGGCGATGCTAGCTAGGAGTGGGGGGAGAACCCGCTTACGAACCTGGCGACGGCTTGCGTGGCGACGCGTCATGCAAGGCTCTCTTTTACCCCCCAAGCGCCGCAATAGATGTTTAACATCAAAAACTTAGTATTCTTGTTGCAAAAAAGCCGAATTTAGTAAATTGACTGTAATTATTAGCAGCAAAATTTCAAGTCACTTGTGTACGTTATCAGTAAACAGGCGTTAGCATTCATTTTTTCTCTGAATGTTAGTACGTTACCTGGCTTGTATGCTCCATAAAACCTTATGATGTTCTGGCGTGTGTAAGACATACTGTAGATGTCACTAAACCCTAAGGTAAATTAATGTCTTTCTCACGCACTATTACCCGTCCAACCTACATCTATTTTCAATAAGGTAGGTATTTTAATACTCAATGGATTTGCGTCTTGATAAAAACGGTCAAGTACTGCTTGGCAGAACTGCTTGTTTCACTTGTTAATGCCATTACGTAGGTCAGTTGTGGACATGCAACTTATAAAGGTTTTTTTACTCCCTCTTTACTTCTTAAATATATTCTTTCTTTTTTTGACAACAACTAATATTCCCAAATCTTACGTCACAGTATTAAGTAAACTTATAGTAGAAATTTCTATGTGTATTAGAACATTTAATTGTAGTTATTTTCCTTCTTTTTACTGCATGACGTTAAATACCTTATCTACCAATTATTAATTTTAGCCATACTGCACCGTAAGAAAAAGTGTGTTTTATGTATAAAGTTTCTCTAGAAATGTAATAAAAAAGTAATTGCTAACATTACTAAATGTATTTTTATCTATGTTCTAAGTACCAAAAAAGCACACACTATATTTAAGGTCTACTATTATCAGCAATTTTAGTCTATCGCTTACGTGGTGAAATAGTGACTAGCTGACATACTTTAATGACTATGAGTTACATCTTTGTTTTTTTTATTAGAATGACGCAATCGTCATTCCTAGTCTAATCATGAAATACAAGATAATTAAAACTTATATTCTATAAAAATAGGGTGCTGTTGCATTTAACATTTTCTTTCTGCTTAAGGTCGTCTACTAGAAGATACAGAATGACCAATACCAGCACAAGTCAAATCTAGCACACATCTCCCTCGTGTTTGCATAGGCAACCGTTCACGGACAGCCATGACTCCGCACGAACGCTAGAGCTGTGAACAGCTCTCTTCTCTTTAATTAGCTCGTAAGAGATAGAGTAGTTTCGTATGTATGGATGAGAATCCCAACCATACGCACATATCTGTGAGGTATGATAAATAAAAATTACCTTTCCAACGTTATATATGTACACATTCACACGTGCATCTAATCATACATATTTACGTACGAGGTAATTATGTACACATTTTGAAAGGGTTTTGAATTTAAAAATGTAATAGGTAGGACTAAAGTTAGAGATGTAGCACAGTAACTCTAGGTCAAGACTTCCTGAGTTTAAATTTGGCTATTAGCCTATGTATAAATTTTTTAATGGGTGGACTGTTTATGCACAGCAGAAATATATGCAGCAAAATAACAGCAGCAGTAGTGAGAGTTATCTTGTTTGTACCAGCCTAGGCATAAATTTGTTTGATAAGTGAACTGTTCACGCACAGCAAAAATAGAATCAGCAAAATAACAGCAGTGGCCGCAGCAGTAGCATTAGCAATAGGAATTATCTTGTATTATCTTTCTACGTATAACCAAGAGATTCATCGATGCATTTACCTGTAAGGTACATCATCAGCTAGAGTTATCTTTTATTTATGACTAGAGTATCTCAGCCATATGCTCTTTTACGTGTAGTATAACCAATACTTATTGAATAATAATATTCATTATGAAGACAGGATACACATAAATGAATACAAACATAAATGGGAAGAAAATAAAATTTTAAAGTTATTAGGTAATAGATTATATTAAAAACAGACTTTATAAATTTATTTTCTTTTACCATTTATTTTTTCAAGAAACTTAAATATTATTTTTTTTTACATTTCAACAAAATTTAATTTTTATATAGTACTTCAACGTCTTTTTTTTGTATTTTCATTAATACCATTTTTATTTTTTCCTTTTTTTTATGGATG